CCCGGGTGGCGCCCTCGGCCCGCCTCGAAGGCGCCCACCTAGTCCGGGGACACCTGCGTGGGCGCAGGGTGGGGAGAGGGCGTGGGTGCCACTGGGACTGAGCCTTTGGAGGCCCCCGTGTCCCCCTACTGCACTGCCTGGAGGGGTGTAGGTCCCCGTGGTGGGCGGCGCCCCGTGCACACCGGCTCAGACTTGAGGCTCCGCGGAGGGCCCTTGCAGATCATGCCCCCAGGCGGGGGGAGCAGCAAGGTGGGGGGGTCTGATGCACGGAACATCTCTGGGCCGCTCAGCCCTGGATGTAACCAGGCCTTCGGGTTAGCGAGCGGGGGTTGGGGGTGGGGTGGGGGCACACATTGAGCGTCCACTCTGCTCCATGACACACCGATTCAGTGGACACCCCTGGCCTGCCTCTCGCCAAGGTGCGGCCGTTTGGCACCGACGGTATAGGGCGTCAGCGCGGTCCTCCAGGCGCTGCCGTGGTTACGGCTGCACACCTCTCCACCGGTACAACTCGGACACAATGCACAAAGAGCTAAACTTTCCTGGAGCAAACAAGAAGGGAAACAAAAGGCTTCTGTAGACGCCACCAAGAAAAGTTGCTGGCAGTGCAGGCGGCACCGGTGGCGCTCCAAATACTGCAGTGTTTCCACCTGGGTCAATCAGGTGTGGGCCTCAGGGGACCTGCGGCATCCGGCTTGCCTGGGAGAGCAGCCCACAGCGTGAGGGGCGCTAAGGGAGCAGCCATGTGCCAGCACCTCCACTGTGGGAAACAGAAACAAACGAAGGATTTGCTTCCCACCTCTGAGATACCAGCATTTCCTCTGAGACCTTCAAGTACATGTTTTTCTGAGGACTGCATGCTTGGAAAAGTAGAGGGTCAAAGGAAAAGAGGAAGATGGATTGACACTGGCTGCTACAATGGGCTACAATAGAACCACGACTGTGAGGACAGCTTACGGCCAGGCAGTGTGTTGTTGTGTTGTCCCTAGGGCCACCGTGGGGCAGAATCGACTCAAGGCACCTAGCAACGACCACGATGACAACACTGCTTAACAAGCTCTGCTTCCCATCTGCCTTGGAAGAAGTGCGGCCAGCGTGCTCTTTGGAGGCGAGGCCGGGAAGCCTTCATTTACATGCTTCAGACGTTATCAGGAGAGATCGGTCTGTGGAGAAGGACTTCATGCTTGGTAAAGTAGAGGGTCAGTGACAGAGATGGCCAGGGCTTCTCCCCCCAAACCGAATAGGGTCTGGTCCCAGTTCTACTGCTTCTTTAAAGTGTTAAAGATGCCCATTAGATAACCCTACCCTATCGCCTGCTGCAGCCATCGCAGGGGGGCTCCCTGGTGGAACCCCACCTTTGGGGCTGACCTATCCGTGTCCACTCTGTGCTCGTGTGGGAAGGTGGCCTGGGTGCCCTGCACCTCGCTAACCCCTCCGCAGTGAGCCTTTATTGAACACAAGCTCTTACGAAACCAGCCTTCCCCACGGTCGAAACGACACCCTCCTTTCACTGGAACGTTTATTTTCGAAATGATTCTGGACTGAACTGAAACCTGGTTTGGGCACCTCTGGCTTGGGGCAACGACGTGGAAACAAACGCATCAGACCCGCGCTCGGGGGGCCCAGGGCTCGGCGGCGAGCAGCGCCCTGCGCTGGTTTGGGGGGTGCTGTCGCCCGCACAGGGGGTGCACAGGTGCTGCGAGGGAAAGGGCGGCATCTCGGCCCCCCAGGCACTCCTCGGGGCCGGCGCGGATTTCCACGCGCGCGGACGCTCGCAGTCTGGGAAACGCGCAGTCCCGTAAGATGGGAGTCCACGCGAGGGCGGAGGGTCTCCCTAGGTCAGCCTGGCCTCCTGCCCCGAGCATGCTCCCCTCAGCAGCGCCCCGGGACCCTCGGCCAGGCGCCCTCAACGCGAGGCAGCCGCCGGGAGCGCATATCCTTCCTCACGCAGCCCGCGTCTCTCCGCCCCGGCCCTCAGCCCGAGTCCCTCAGTCCCTCAACTGCTCCACCCGGAGCCCGCGGCCCTGGGGCGGTGCCCGCGGCCCGCAGCCGTACCCAGGTCTTGGTGCGTCGCCAGTCCGCTCTTCTCTCGAACTCTGTCCTCGGTCAGAACTAGCCGCAGCCCCGGGGGCGCCATGTTTTCAAACGGAACGCCGCCGCGCCTGCGCACTGAGGCCGGCGGGCGCCGAGGCGGGGTTT